ACCGTAGTGTCTGACATTCTCTGTGTTTGCTAGTATCGAATTGGGAATGGGAAAATTTAACTCTCTTATTTTCACGTGTTTCTTGGAGAATTTCTATTTTTAGATATAATTTCGATTTTTTAGATATCGATGTAATGTAACGTACTGTATACTAAAAAGATTTGATAAAATTCAGATGGAATTTATATTTGCACGAGGTATTATCATCGTAGAAATGCTGAGAATGCACATGGTACCTAGGCTCTTCCTTCGTCAAGGGAGTGGCTCGAGTTCCTGTCGCATCTCATTGATGTGTAATCTCGAGTTTGACGAATAAACATGCCAAATAAACTGAAATCTTACTCACCCGCTGAGTAATTGTTTTTCATTTCTACATTATGTACGACCATAAATGGTATTGGACATTTTTAACTTTATCATATCGTCGCTATCCGAGCTCTCTCATACAATGGAACGTGAGTGAGTTATTCATGCTATTTATCACTCATATCTGCAATATTTTTCAAAGTTTTTATTAATCTTTTGAAAAACTTAAAAGAACCTATAAGTAGTTCGTAAAATTTAAATAACACTTAAGAATTTTACGTAATATAAAATCTGTAAAATTGGACTACTTGATTATAGTGTTTATCATCCAATAAATATACGACACCTTCATGAGAAAATCAATAGAAAAAATTTAATTGGATTAGTAAAAGCATCCTGAGTCGTTTAAGTTCGCTGAAACTTATTATTACCCTAAGTTTCATTGAAACACGAAATAATTGACGTTCAAAAATACTGCCTGAAATAGCCCTGGCTGTATTTTACGAACCCAAGGTTCTACAGAAATTATTCTTAACGCAAAACTTTTTGGGACGCGCTATATGTACATTACAGACTGTCGAAGAGAAATTGGCCGTGCACCCAAAGTCAATGACTTCGTGGCTTGGTTTAATTGACCCGACGACGGGATCTTTTCACGGCTTTAGGAATCAAGGCCACCGCGTATACGTATTCAATACGGTCCAATGTATGTGTCGCATACGTGTTGGACGTCTTTTCGCAGACGCATCAGATGTATATACACGTAGAAAAGAAAAAGAATACATTGAGTGTCCTCGAGTGTCTAATTTACTATGACAACTATAAAATAGAACTATTACCATTATAATTATGAAAATTAAGATGGGACAACTGTTTGAAAATCGTATATATCTGAATGGCTAATTGTAAAAAATATCAGTATGGAGGAATGATCGAGCATTCTCTTTTAGAAAGTATATTCTGACCCACTATTGGTTAAAGAATTTTGTTAATCATTCAGGTAAGAAATTTCCGATTTAAGATACTCAAGATCAATTCGAATCGTTATGTTTGCACTTGAAATCATCTTAACATACAAATTTTCATTGACCACTATTCAAAAATTGTTGTTCCCCCTATTATTTCGATTCAACTTGAATAAATTAAATTAAATAGATTCAACTTCACTCCTACTATTACTGATTATACAACGAACAGTTGTTAAACTGGAGCTGATGTAACAAACATTTTACATAAAACTGTCGAGTAACATTGAAATAAAAAAAAGAAAAAAAGGAAAACGTAACTGGTATAGTAGAAATTTGATACAAATCGCCCGATAATATTACAATTCATTTGGGTCAAGATAATAGGAAAGTGCCAAAAAAAAAAAATAGTTCGACTTTACTTGAATCAAAAAATAAAGCGTAGCGATTGAAATATTTCCCATTTAACAGAGCGGAAAACTTTCCGAGATCGGACAACGGAGCGTCCACGAGGAGACGTTTCCCCTTCCTGTGGTAAGACACTCGTTATCCTACGGATGCCGGTATCCTACGAGATAAACGTTTCCCAGACGACAAACGTGTTTCCGACTTCCCAATAATGGCGGATTGCCTTCCGTGGCTCTCTTTCTCTCCGGGAAATTTTCTGAAATTAATTAAGCTCGTCAACATGCGTATCACGGTGTAATTAGAGCGACTCGTTCGGAGTAACAACTAACGAGGGTGCGTTCACACCCACGTACCAAACGGAGCATGTGTAAAAGCGCCAAATATGGACGGAGTATGCGGCGCTTTAAATCTTTTACTATAAACGGCCTCAATCTGTTAATGGATATTGGTGCATGTACGATTGCAAGTACACGTACTTGAATTTCTGTGATCTCTCATCAATGTGCTTACAGCAGTGTTTTTCACCAATCGATTTTCTCTATTTCACTTGAACGTATCAAATGGTGTACGAAAATAGAATACGATAAGATTTATTCGAGTATTTTGGCTGCAGTTATTTTAATATGTACGATGTTGTAAACATGAATAATTGTGTTAGAGTGTTTTACATTGCATACATAGTACTATACTATAAAAATAACCTATACTTTATATTATCACGTATCGTTTATCATTATGTAGCAAACTGTAGCATAAGTTTCAATATCTTACCATGTCAGGGTTCCTCTACAAGCTTTTGATTTAATAAACTCACTTCGCTGATATATTAATTATCGAAGAAAAATATTAATGAAATTTGATATCGAGGCAGAAAAATTCTGTAAAAATCAACTTAAGATGATTATCTTCGAATAATTCGAAGTATCGATGCGAAATTATCGTGGATTAGTTATTTAATGATCATGTGACTAACGTACACAAAATGCGACAATGTGCTTAACTTGCTGTAACATATTATGTAATTCATTCGTCTCAATTTTCTTGCCTACTTTGTAGGAGACATCTTACAACACTTAAATGAATTTAGACCGGTCATAAAACGTTAAAAAGACATTAGATAATATTTTAAATATTTGAATTATTAATTAAAAAATGTTGTAAAAATAATTCTAAAAAGATATAAAAGATTTTTATTCATTATAAAGTGCTACTTGATCGTATTACCATAATACGAAAATTTTTAATTTTAAAGGTTAAAATGTCAAAAGGGACAATACATGTACCGACAGGTTTCTAAATTAGTTGTGTCATAAAGAAAAATAATTTAATTTAAAAATTCAAAGATTACCTCGGAAATGATACACCAAAGACATCTAATTAAGCAAAGTAGGTACTTAAAACCATAAATAAACATCAATTTAACTAATATACATGTCCAAACATGAAACTCAGTATCAAATAATCTCGATTGGTTAGTTCAGAGAATATGTACTTATGAAAGTGACTACATCAATCAATTTTTAGATAAATCATAACATTGTTTCGGCAAATAATACGT